CTAGGCTTTATACACTAGGCTTTACACTAGGCTTTATACACTAGGCTTTATACATCACTGCGCTTCTCACATGGGTCTGGGACTCCTTCATAGCAGTTTGCTTTCAGAAGGCGGGGCCTTGTAAAAAAGATCCTTGTATGTGATTGGATAAACCACTTGTCAGTTATTTCAAATGACGTGTTCCTTCAACCACTCACATTGAAGCACGCGACTCCCATTGGTTGCTAAATGCCGGCAAGAATTTTCCAACCCAAAACTCGCGAGACTGCCCAAAAAAAAAAAAAAAAAAAAACAGAATTATTTTTTGGCTAAAAACTTTATGTAATCAACTTGGGCTATCATGATTCTTTTTATTATCTTTCTGTTTATTTATTACCTACAAGTCTCTTGGAAAAAAAAGTATGCGGGAAACCACCCAACCTGGCAACCCTGCTGCGTAGTGTTGTAAACAGGATCACTTAAAGTGATAGTCTGTAACTCTAAATGAATTACACATTTTAGGAAATGTGTTAAATTGACCTCCTGGCCTTAAATATTGATATAAAATAAGTCATTTTATTAATTCTAATATTACGGGCAAGTCCCGCCTTCCCTGCTCTTAGCTATAGCTCAGAATCCACGGTGCCGTCGAGGTTAACCAATCGACTCCTGCCAAGGGCTGTCAATCATCGGCGCTGATGCCCGCAGCTGCGCACATGCTCAGTTGTTTGTTTTCGCGGAGCCTCTATTAGGCTCTGGAACTACATGAAAACTGAACAAAGAATTCTTTTATATTCATTTATATACTGAACCTATATCCATAATCAGATCCTCTGCAGATGTGTCCTATAATGTGCAATTCATGATAATAGCTTCTTCCTGGTTTGCCGCGATCGCTTTTTTTGTGCATGAAAATATTATTTTTTTCATTAAAACGTTCACAAATAATTCTGAAAACCTCCGTGCATGTGTATTAATAATGTATATGTATAATGTGTTCTCTGGTTAACATTTAAATGTGTTACGGAAACGTAGGTGTAAACCAATCAGAAAGGAAGGGGGAGGGAGCTTGCGTTGTTTTTTTCAAATCAAGCACCTCTCTTTCTCTTTCTGACAAACTCCAGACAATCACTTTTAACCAGTGCTTACACACATATAACAACATGGAACCATCAACATCTCGCCTCATATTGCATTAAAGTGACATCCGTGTCTTAATCCGTTCGTAAACCTTTTTAAAAATTCACGGACTTCATGTCCGCCATCTTGGATTGCTTTCGCTGCCGCGTGAGACACGCACGAGAAGGCGGTGCAAACCCGACGTAACACCGGCGATCCTGATTGGTCAATTATTTTCTGATCTGCTGAAGGAGTTTGGTATGCGCTTGATCCCAGACCCATGTTGTTCAGCCAAACGCCTCTGGCGGAACTACAAGGGTCTGACGAGAGCCAGGCTAGGCTTTTGCTCTAGCTGCTCCCAAACTGTGAAATAGTTTACCTCTGTACTTTAGAACAACTCCTTCATTGGAGGCTTTTCTTTTACATTTTATATGTATTTGTGTGGACTTAATGCTGTATTCCTCCAATGTGACAGATAATATACACTCAACAAAAATAAAAACGCAACACTTTTTGCTCCCATTATCACTGAGATGGACTTAAAGATCTAAAATTCACTGCTGAGAGCACTACTAAGAGCAGACCAGAGTAAAACAGTGTGTTTTCATTTACTCACGAGTACCTGAGAAGTTCTGAAGCGCACTCAGATTCAGAGGAGGAGCCGTGGGAAAAAACACATAGCTAATTACGTTCTCTGCCGCACCTGCGTCTATGATAATGATGATGATGAAGGCAGTTCTTGAGAGAAGAGCAAAAGTATCAAAAGTGGATCAGAAACTTTAAGAAGCCTTTTGTTTATCATGGAGATGATCTGGAAAATTTTGAGCCCATTGATTTTCTCTCTGTTTCTGGATGATGAATTCTGGAGCCTCATTTCCACTGAAACAAACAGATATGCCCACCTGCTCTTTGAAAGGGAAATTTTTAAACCAAACTCTGGATTTCATGACTGGCAAATTATAAGGAGTGCCATCTTGATTATTGAAAGTCATTGAAAATAATACAATTCCAAAGGGCTGCCGACCAGTGATAAAAGAATATATAAATTGGATCGGGTAATTTTCTTCTATTCCAAATTTAGTTTCATACTAAAGACACTTCACATTGACAGTATTCCCTTATCTCAAATTGTCTAAAATTACAGCTTCTTGAAATCCTTAAACGAAAACTTACATCTTCTAATTTGATGACATATGATTATCCTTGATGATATCTCAATATGCAAATTAGATATTTCTCATTTACCATTTGCCTTTATCTCAAACCACTTTTAAGTTAGAGCCTTTTGAAATCTTGATATGAATTTTTTTTTTGTGTGAAAAAACTACCTTAACTGTTTTTATTTAACAGAAGCATGTTCTGTTTTTATTTCTCAAATGTCATGAGAAAATTAGAGCAGGTTGATGCAGGGCCACTTATTATTTGACAATCAGTGCAATGATGATTTAATGTGCAATGTATGTTTTGATGGGTGGACAAGTTCAACATATTTCAGCACTGAGTACTGGGTTGTATGTCCTGGGTTTTCAAATTTATATGTCATGCTTTTACTGAAATGGATAAATGATCTGGCGTTCTTGTACTTGAATCCGTGACATAAAGCAGTTCATTTATAATAGTTTGTAACTTTATGAATCAATCAAATTTATTTTGGCCTAAACTTTATTTTTCATCTTTTAGAATGTGAAAGAACATTGATAGATAAACCTGTTGGAATGGATTATTATTTCAATAAGCGACGATCAACTTCCTGGACTCAAAACCGTCCGGCACCTCAGGAAGCAGTGCTTTGTACAGTGCGGGTGGAGAGCTGCTGACCTCAACTGGGGATATTGTTAGGCAAAGGAATACTTTGAGGTTCTCCTCAATCCCCCCGTCTTGTCCTCCGTCCCAGAGGCAGAGTCAGTAAGTCAGACCTGTTCCCGGCACTAGGGCTGTCGCAATAAACGATATGTATGGGCTGCGCGTCGGGGTCCACTTCGTCCTGTCGGTACTTATTTTCGGATAATGACCTGTGTACGATACATTATCCCGCTTATTATACGGCTTTATACCAACAGAAAACACAACATAAACTTCAGTCCACTCTTAGGAATGCCAAAAAGTTTATTTAATGACAGAAAATAAAATAGTTCCTGTGGCTATGCGAGTAACAGTTAGGCTAGTAACAGTTAGGCTAGCAACAGTTAGGCTAGCAACAGTCAAGGGCTCGACACACGGGAGGCGACAAATGAGAGCGATCAGCGAAACTCAACGCTGTCGCTCAGATAACATGACAGACGGGGCGCGATGCGGCTTGACGACAGCGTCGAAAAGTTGAGCCGATTTCAACTTTCTGGGATCGCGTCGCTGACCTGCGCGTGCACGATACATGCACGAGCGGGAGGATTTCACACGCACGTTTTTCGCCCGTCGCTGAGCAGGAGGCTCGCTAGCGATTGACGCTATGTCGCGCACGTCCCATTGAAATGAATGGAGGCGATGCGATGTCGCCTCCCGTGTGTCTAGCCCATTAGGCTAGCAACAGTTAGGCTAGCAACAGTTAGGCTAGCAACAGTTAGGCTAGTAACAGTTAGGCTAGTAACTCCCAAACTAGAACTCTCTGGAACTGCAAGAAAACTGAACACAGAATACTGAACATCAGTGGTGAGTGACCCAAACATGAAGTTAACCTAAATCCATAATTCAATCCTCTGTAAATGTTCCTAAGCTAAGCTCCGGAGTGGCTAGAACAACTTGCGGGGCAATCTACACACATGAATTACAAGCAGAGAGTGCGTTGCCAAAGGGCAGCAGTCATTATTGTTTTGAGAGGTCAGTTATAAGAAATAATGACCGGTAGAACGTTTTGAAATTACATTCAGGTCAATGGAGCGTTCCACTGCCGCTGTGAGGAGCATGTAACAAATTGAGTTATTGCGCGGGGTCAGTAAGTTCCATTTGTGCAATTGTGTGTTTACTCTTTGCCTACCTACATAACAACGCATGGTCTCCTTGTGTGTTGCGCACACCGCAACAATTAATCGTCAAGAAAATTAATGCCAAGGCTGCTCTTTGTCACCAGTTCTGTTCACTGTCTTCATGGACAGAATATTGAGTTGCAGTCAGGGGCCAGAGAGGGTCCTGTTTGGGGACCACAGGATTTCATCTTTGCTGTTTGCGGCCGATGTTGTCCTGTTGGCTCCAATAGGCCAGAACCTGCAACTTGCAGCCAAGTGTGAAGCGGCTGGGGAGGTGTTCTGGGTATGTTCCACCATGAGGAGACTCCGGGGAGGACCCGCTGGAGGGACTATGTCTCTCCCCTGGCCTGGGAACGCCTTGGGATTCCCCTGGATGAACTGGAGGAGGTGTGTGTGGATAGGGATGTCTGGGTGTCTCTGCTTAGACTGCTGCCCCCGACCCGGCAACGGGTGAAGGAGAAGAAAATGGATGGATAGCATCATGTGTCTATAACGTGAATCTTCTAGACCTATATTTTCAATCAACTTAGTTCTGAAGATAATCTATTTGAACTCCCTGTATATTTACGTGGCTGTATACGTGGCAGTCTGAGCGCAGAAACTATACACTTCTAGTTTTCAATAAACATGATTTGGAACAAAAATATCAAAAGAAACACATCCAATAGCAGACGTTGTGGACACAAAGCACCTGATTGGTCAGTTTTTAGGAGCCATATCTGGGTCTCCAAAAACAATATGCAAAAACCCAAAAACACCAACATTATGTAGTGCGTTAAACCACAGATTCTTTGTTGTTGACACAAACAGTTTCAGTGATTTCAGTTGCGCTGTCCATCACTGCTCGAAGAGTGTAGAACTGAAATACACTAAATACATCTCTTTACCCCAAACTGTCTTTAACCTCTCCCCCCAAACTCTTCCTCACTCATTGGAACATAAATGCTGGGTGTGTGTGTGTCTGTGTGTGCCGCTCCTCACTTCCTGTTTCCTGCTTCCTGTTGCAGAGGAAGGCGAGTATTTCCTCAAAGTGCTGATCCCCAGCTATGCGGCAGGCTCCATCATTGGCAAAGGGGGCCAGACCATCGTCCAGCTGCAGAAGGAGACCGGGGCCACCATCAAGCTGTCCAAATCTAAAGATTTCTACCCCGGTAAGAGCCTTCACATGTGTGGAGTTAATTACAATAGTGACTTTATAATTAACACTTTAAAACTCTGTATTCCCTTTGAATGAATTCTCATAATGTTCATAAATCATAATCCAATCACGAGAGAGGGGTGGGCCTGAAAACCCGTTGATAACGGTAACAGGAGTCAAAAATGCATCTGATTGGTCACTTATTTGTGTTTGTCTTTGTTTTCAAAGGCTGTCTGGATTAAACAGACACAAATGTGTGGAGGCGACAGTAGCTCAGGGGCGACAGTAGCTCAGTTGGTAGAGCATTGGCCTTTGGGCCTGAAGGTCGTGGGTTCAAGCCCACCATAAGACCTACTTCACGACTCCCACTGATGACTGCTGTCGTTGTGTCCTTGGGCAAGACACTTAACCCCACTTTGCCTGAAGCTCCCACTGAAAGATCTCAGCTCCTGTGGACTCACCACCTGCAGGAGGATCAGTGAGGGGCTGGTGCTTTGTGTACTGGGTGCAGCTCTGAATGCCACCCCCGGTAACTCATAGTGAGACAGCAGGCATAGACAAAACAGATTAAAGTTATAATGTTGAAACGGCCTCTGCTTTTGGACTTCTACAACCTGCTCCAGGGGAATAGACATTTAATTGAATGTCAAGACTGAACTAACTACTACTATAACCACAGCCTATTTAACCCTATTTTAAACCTCATTTTTGTACAGTTCCTAATCATTTAACCTTGCTGATTTGCTAACAGAACATTAGAAAAATATTGGCAGATTGACCAATGTTCACTGGGATGAAGCACATGGATGGATGAGTTGAATTTTGGTTAAGCACATCTATCATCTCTGTAAACGCAAACATAGTCACAGTCAATAGAACTCTCTCACAGTCTGACACTGCGGGCCCCTGATTCCAGAGCGGCTCTGGTCTATGGGCTCCGTCAGAGAGAAAGGTCCCCCAGTGCTGCCTCCGCTCAGGGCATCTGTATGCTAATGAGGCTGCCTGCTTCCTGAGCCACAACCAAAAGGGCCACCTGCTGCAGGGGCCTCCGCAGGGGCCGACACAGAGGCCCATTCTGCGTGCACTTCCGCCGCTCACAGCTGAGACGTTCACAAAGATGTTTCCATGGCATAAATCTGTCATTGATCAATGAGGAGACGAGAGGAGGCTTGAGGAGTCAAGAAGAGGCGAGAGGAGGTGAGAAGACGAGAGAGGAGGCGAGAAGACGGTAGAGGAGAGCCGGTTGTATTAGCAGTCAGTTGTATTAGTTTGTTTACAGACGCAAGACTTGAAAGAAAAAAATATATTTGGACTGAAAGCCGTGTCACTGTGCGGCAAAAAAATACACGCAGAGTACGGAGAAGTAATACAGGACTTTGTGGACTGGTGCCAGCGGAACCACCTCCTCATCAGAATCAGAATCAGAATCATTTTTATTGCCACGTAAGTAACAGGAGGTCACAGACTAGGAAATTGCTTTGGCTCAGTGCAACAGTCAGAAAGAGATAATAAAAATAAAGAATAAAAAACACTTCTAAGGAATAAATGTAAATTTAAAATAGAGTTACAGTTACTATTTACAATATACAAGTGCACATGGTGCACACAATGTAAGGTGACAGCAGTACAGTGAAGTAAAGTGACGTATGATGGGCAGTAAAGTGACTTTATAAAGGGCGGGGGGACAGGTTAAGAAGTGTTCAAGATTCCAACAGCAGAGGGGAAGAAACTGTTCTTGTGGCGGGAGGTTCTAGTCCTGATGGACCGCAGCCTCCTGCCTGAGGGGAGTGGTTGGAATAGTCCATGTGCAGGTGAGAGGGGAGTGGTTGGAATAGTCCATGTGCAGGTGAGAGGGGAGTGGTTGGAATAGTCCATGTGTAGGTGAGAGGGGAGTGGTTGGAATAGTCCATGTGCAGGTGAGAGGGGTCGGCTGTGATACGACCAGCCCGGCCTCGAGCTCGGGCGACGTACAGGTCCTGCAGCGATGGAAGGCTGCGGCCGATCACTTCCTCTGCAGAGCGCACAATGCACTGTAGTCTCTGTTTGTCCCTGACTGTGGCTCCAGCGAACCACACGGTGACGGAGGAGGTGATGGAGGAGGTGATGGAGGAGGTGATGAGGAGGTGATGAGGAGGTGATGAAGGAGGTGATGGAGGAGGTGATGGAGGAGGTGATGGAGGAGGTGATGGAGGAGGTGATGAGGAGGTGAGGATGGACTCGATGATGGCCGTGTAGAACTGCACCAACATCTGTGCAGGCAGCTTGGCTTTCCTGAGCTGCCGCAGGAAGTACATCCTCTGCTGGGCCTTCTTGATGAGGAGCTGATGGTCGGCTCCCACTTGAGGTCCTGGGTGATGGTGGTGCCCAGGAAACGGAAGGACTCCACAGAGGTGATGGGGGAGTCCATCACGGAGGGTGGGGGCGGGGGGACAGTGCTCTTCCTGAAGTCCACAATCATCTCCACTGTCTTCTGGGCGTTCAGCTCCAGGTTGTTACCACTGCACCAGGACACCAGCCGGTCCACCTCCCTCCTGTAGGAGACACCAGGACACCAGCCGGTCCACCTCCCTCCTGTAGGAGACACCAGGACACCAGCCGGTCCACCTCCCTCCTGTAGGAGACACCAGGACACCAGCCGGTCCACCTCCCTCCTGTAGGCGGACTCATCGTTGTTGGAGATGAGTCCAATGAGGGTGGTGTCGTCCGCAAACTTGATCAGCTTCACGGAGTCGTGGCCGGAGGTGCAGTGGTTGGTGTACAGGGAGAAGAGCAGGGGAGAAAGAACACAGCCCTGTGGGGCTCCTGTATTTATAATCCGAGAGTCCGAGACATTCTTCCCCAGACGCACTCGCTGCTTCCTGTCCGTCAGGAAGTCAGTGATCCACCTGCAGGTGGAATCGGGCACGTTGAGCTGGGAGAGCTTGTCCTGGAGCAGGGATGGCAGGATTGTGTTGAAGGCAGAGCTGAAGTCCACGAACAGGACCCTGGCGTAGGTCCCCGGGGAGTCCAGGTGCTGTAGGATGTGGTGGAGGGCCAGGTTAATGGCGTCGTCTACAGATCTGTTGGCTCTGTAGGCGAACTGCAGGGGGTCCAGGAGGGGGGAGGTGAGGGACTTGAGATGGGAGAGAACCAGGCGTTCAAATGACTTCATGACGACAGACGTAAGTGCTACAGGTCTGTAGTCATTGAGTCCTGTGATCCTGGGCTTCTTCGGGACGGGGACAATGATGGAGGATTTGAAGCAGGCCGGGACATGGCAGGACTGCAGAGAGGTGTTGAAAATGTCCGTGAACACAGGAGTAAGCTCACTGGCGCAGTGTCTCAGAGTGGCCGGAGACACGTGGTCCGGGCCAGGAGCTTTGCGGGGGTGCAGCCTCAGGAAGAGTTGTTTAATCTCTTTAGAGGCTATTGTTAGGCTGGGGGCAGGGCTGATGGGTGGGTCGTTAGAGTAGTGGGGGGTGGGGGAGGGAGAGGTGTCAGGGGCAGCATCAAAGCGACTGAAAAATAAGTTCAGATCGTCAGCTAGCTTGTGGTCGTCAGCACAGGGGGGGGCTTTGGGTTTGTAGTTGGTGATCTCCCGTAGGCCCCTCCAGGCAGAAGCAGTATCGTTGTTACCAAACTGCTCCTGTAGTCGTTCTCTGTGCCGGGACTTGGCTGCTTTCAGTTCTTTCCTGAACTGATATTTAGCTGCTTTGTAGCCGCTGCGGTCCCCCTCCCTGAAAGCAGACTCTTTTGCTTTCCTGAGCTGCCGGAGTTTAGCAGTGAACCAGGGTTTGTCGTTGTTATAGATGACCCTGGTCCTTGTTGGAATGATGCTATCCTCACAGAAGTGAATGTATGACGTCACAGTGTCCGTGTATTCATCCAAACTATCTGTGGCAGCTCTGAAAAGGTCCCAGTCTGTAGATTCCATGCATGCAGCTCTTCCACAGCTTCATCAGACCACACTTTGGAGCTCCTCACTGCAGGTTTCGAGAGCTTTAGTCTCTGTCTGTAAGCAGGAACCAGATGTATCATGGAGTGATCTGAGAAGCCGAGGGCTGCCTTGGGAACAGCGCGAAAAGCTCCGCGCACGGTGGTGTAACAGTGATCCAGAGTGTTCTCCTCTCTGGTCGGGCATTTGATAAACTGTCTGTATTTGGGTCATTCCTGGCTCAAGTTTCCCTTATTAAAATCCCCCAGGATAATAATCAGAGAGTCCTGGTATAAACGTTCCATACACAGTACTTGCTCTGCGTCCGCGCATGGCGGTATGTAAACAGAGGCAAGAATGAATGAAACAATTTCGCGCGGGGAGTAAAATGGTTTACAATGAATGAAAAGATATTCCAGAGCAGGAGAGCAGTGCTTGGAGATCACTGTCACATCGTTACACCAGTTTGTATTGACGTAGAAACACAGCCCACCGCCTCTGCTCTTCCCTGAGAGCGCACAATGGCGATCCGTGTGGAACAGCCCAAAGCCCTGCAGCTCCAGAGCGCAGTCCGGGATCCGCTCATTTAGCCAGGTCTCAGTGAAGCAGAGGACACAGAGGACACCAGGTCTCAGTGAAGCAGAGGACACAGAGGACACCAGGTCTCAGTGAAGCAGAGGACACAGAGGACACCAGGTCTCAGTGAAGCAGAGGACACAGAGGACACCAGGTCTCAGTGAAGCAGAGGACACAGAGGACACCAGGTCTCAGTGAAGCAGAGGACACAGAGGACACCAGGTCTCAGTGAAGCAGAGGACACAGAGGACACCAGGTCTCAGTGAAGCAGAGGACACAGAGGACACCAGGTCTCAGTGAAGCAGAGGACACAGGATGAAGTCCTTGGTTCTTCTCATGAGCAGGCTGAGTTCGTCTTATTGCCCAGTGAGCGTACGTTGGACAGAAAAATGCCGGGGAGAGGCTCCTCTCCTCCTAAGACGCACCAGCAGCCTCCACGCTTTCCCCTTTTACGGGCCCACACTTTTTTGGCTAGAACATGGACTAAATCAGCCGCAGATGCCAAGAAAACAGGCAATAGGTCCATGGGAACGGTGGGTCGGATGTTCATAAGTTCCTCACGGGTGTAGGAACAGCCAGATGCACAGTTAAAAAGTAAAAACAAGAGGAGAAGAGAGCAGCAAAGAGCCATGTCGACCGTACGAGGCGCCATCTTTTTTGCACAACATCAACACGGGGAAGACCAAGGAGATGAACCACCTCCTCATCAACACGGGGAAGACCAAGGAGATGAACCACCTCCTCATCATCAGTGGGGGTGGTGGGGGGGTGGGTGGGAGGGTGGGGCGGGGTTGGGTTGTGTGGGGGGGAGTGGTGGTGTGGTGGGGTGTGGGAGGTGGCGGAGGTAGGGGGATGGGGGGGTGAGGGGGTGGGGTGTTCGTGGGGGGGGGGCTGTTGGGTGGGGGGCGGAGGGGTGTTGCTGGGATTGAGGTGGATGGGGGTGGGTGGGGGGTGTTAGGGGGGGTGGGTGGGTTGGGGGTTGGGTGGGCTGGGGGGGTGTGATGGTGGAGGGGTAGGGGGTGTTGTGGGGTGGTGGGGAAGCGAGGGTTGGGGGATGGGTGAGTGGGGTTAGGGGGGTGGGGGGGGGGGGGTAGCGGGGAGGGGGCTTTGGAGCGGCGCGTAGCGGGGGGGGGTGTGGGGGTTGGGGGGGGGGGGGTGGGGGGATGTCGGGGGGGGGTATGGTTGTGGTTGGGGGAGGGTGGGGTGGGCGGGGGGGGGGGTGGGTGGGGGGGGGGTGGGGGTGGGGGTGTTTGGGGGGGGGGGGGAGGGGGGGGTGTGGGGGGGTGGGGAGGGGGGGGGGATGGGAGGGGGGTGGGGGCGTTGTGGGGGGGGGAAGTTGGGTGGGGGGGGGGCGTGGGTGGGGGGCCGGGTGTGGTTGGGGGGGGGGGGGGGGGTGGGGATGGGGGGGGGGGCGGGGGGTGAGGGGGTGGGGTGGGTGGTCGTGGGGGGGTGATAGTGTGGGTGTGGGGGGGGGGTGGATGGTTGGTTGAGGGTGGGTTTGGATGGGTGTGTGGGATGGGTTGGGGGGTAGGGGGTGGGGGGTTGGGGGGGGGGAGGCTGTGGGGGCTGTGTGTGGATGGGGGGGGGGGTGTGTTGAGGGGGGTATGGGGGGGATGGAGGGGTGGGGGGTGTGGGGGTGCTGGGGGGGGGGGGCGTGGGGTGGGGGGTGGGCGGGGTGGGGGTGGTGGTGCGAGGGGGTGGGTGGGTGGTGAGGGGGTGAGGGGGGGGGGGGGGGTTGGGGGGGTGTGTGGGGGGTGGGGGGGGGCTGGGGGCGGGGGTGTGATAAGGGGGTGGGGGGGTTAGGGGTGGGGGGGGGGGGGGGTGGGTGGGGCTGGGGGGGGGTTGTGGGATTGTGTGGGGGTGTGGGGGGGTTGTTGGGGGCGGGTGGGTGGTGGGGAGGGGGTGGGGGAGGGTGTGGGGGGGGGTGGGTGGGGTGGGGTGAGGGGGGAGGGGCGGTAGGGTGGTGCTGGGGGGGGGGGGAGATGGGGTGGGGCGGGGGGGGGGGGGTGGGGCAGGTAGTAGGTGGGTGGGGCGGTGTGGGCGTGGGTGGGTGGTGGTTGGGGGGGGGGGAGTTAGGGGGGGTGGTGATTGGGGGAATGTGCTGGGGGGGGTGGTGTGGGGGTGGGGGGGGGGGGCGGGGGGGGGAGGTGGGGGGGTGGGGGGGTGTGGGTGGGTGGGGGTGGGGTGATGGATACGTGCGGGTGGTGGGTGGGGGGGTGATGGGGGGGGGGGGTGTGTGGTGGGGGGGGGGGTGATGTGGGTGGGGGGGGTGGGGGGGTAGGTGTGGGAGTCCGGTGTGGGGTGTGGAGGGGGGGTGGGGGGGTGGTGGGTGGGGGGGGGGGGGGGGCGGGGGGGGGATGTGGGTAGTCGTAGGGGGGGGGTCAATCCAACCTGTGGGAGGGGGTGGAGGGGGTGGGGGGTGGTAGTTGGGGGGGTGGGGTCGTGGGGGTGTGGGGGGTGGCGTGGGGAGGTGCTGGGGGGTGGGTGGGGGGGTGGGGTGAGGTTGGATGGAGTTGGGGGGAGGTGGGGTGAGGAGGGTGGAGGTGAGTTGTTGGGGGAGTGGGTTCGCGAGTGTGGTGTGTGTTGGGGATGGGTGGGTTGGGTGTGGTTGGGCCTGTGGAGGGGGTGGGTTGGGTGGGATGTGGGGAGGAGGCCCGCGAGGGGGGGGGTGGGTGGGTTGAGGTTGGGGGCTGGGGGGTGGGTTGTGCGGGTAGAGATGTGGGGTAGGGCGGGGGTATGGGTGGGGGTATGGGAGGGGTGTGGGGTGGTGGGGTGATGGTTGGTGGGGGGGCGGGGGGTGGGTGTGGGGGGGGGGTGGGGGTTGGGGTTGTGGGGTGGTTGGGGGTGGGGGGGGTGGTGGGGGGGGGTGGGTGGTTTGGGTGGTGGGGGGGGGGGTGGGGGGGTTGGTGGGGGGGCGGGACGGCGGGGTCGGGTGGGTTGGGGGGGTTGGAGGGTGGGTGCGGGGGTGCCGGGCCCGTTGGGGTGGAGGGTGGGGTTGGGGTGCGGGGGGGTGGGTTGCAGGGGGGTGGTGGGGGGTGGGGGGGGGAGGAGTTTGGGGGTGTTGGGGGGTGTGGGGGTGGGGGGGGGGGTAGGGTGGGGGCCGTCGAGGTTGTGTGGGTGGGGTATGGGTTGGTGTGGTGGGGGGGTGTTGGGGGGCGGGGGCGGGGGGTGGGGGGGGAGGGGGGGGGGGTGGTGGGTGGGTGTGGGGGTGAGGTGGGGGGGGGGGGCGTGAGGTGGGGGGGTGGGGGGTGTTGGGCGGTCGGTGGGGGGGGGGGGGGGTGGGGGGGCGGGTGGGGTGGGGGGGGGGGGGGTGGGGTGTGGGGGGTGGTGAGGGGGGGGGGGTGGGGGGGGGGGGGGGAGCCGGTGGGGTGTCGGGTGTGCGTGGATGGTGGTTGGGGGGTGGCCGCTGGCGATGGGGCGAGGGGAGGGTGGTTTGTGGGGGGGGGGGGGGGTGAGGTGGGGGGGGGGTGGGGGGGGGTGGGGGGAGCAGAGCCGGGTGCAGGGGGGGCTCGTGGGTAGGTGTGGGGGGATGGGGGGTGGTGGGACCGTGGTGGTGGTGGGGTGGGGGGGGGGGGTGGGGGGGAGCGGTGGGTGGGGGTGGGGGCGGGTGGGGGGGGGGTGTGAGTGGGGGGTGGCGTGGGTGGGGCTGCTGGTGGGGGGGGTGGGGGGGTAGGTGCGGGGGAGTGGCGGTGGCGTGGCGGGGTGCGGGGGTGGGGTGGGGGTATCGGCGCAGGCGTGGCGGGGGGTGGGGTGGGGTGGGGGCGCATGGGTGGGTGGGAGTGGGGGGGGAGGTGGGTGGGTGGTAGGGCATGGGGTGGGGGGTGTGGGTGGGTGGGGGAGGGGTGCGGGCGGGTGGGTGGGGGGGGAGGTTGGTGTGGGTGATGGAGGGGGGGGTGTGTGGTCGAGGGCGGATGGTCATGGGGGCGGGGTGGTGGGTTGCTTGGGGGTGTTGGGGGGGTGGGGTTGTAGGGGGGGTGGGGGGGTGTTGGTGTGGGAGGATGGGGTGGGGGGGGGGGGGGGGGGAGTGTGGGGGGGTGGGGTGTGGTGGGGGGGTGTGGTCCGCGGCGTGGGGGTATGGTGGTGGGGTGGGGGGGGGGGTGGGGGGGTGGGGTGGGGTGGTGTGTGGGCACTGGGTTTGTGGGGTGGGGGGGGGGTGGTGGGAGCTGGGGTGGGGGCTGTGGGAGGTGGGGTGGGTGTGGGGGGGGTGGGGGGGGGAGGAGGCGGGGGGTGGGTGGGGGGGGTGGGTGTGGTGGGGTTGGGTTCGGGGCGTGGTCGATGTGGTGGGCTGGTGGGTGGGTGGGAGCGCGGGGGGTTGGGGGGGGGGCGTGGTGGGGTGTGAGAGATGGTCGTGGGGTTTGGAGTCGGCTGGGGGTGGGGTGATGGTGGGGGTGGGCGGTGGGGGGGTGGGGTGGGGGTGGGGGAAGGTGGGGGGGGGGCTGGGGGTGTTGTGTGGGGGTGGGGGGGGGGGGTGGGGTGGGGGTAGGGGGTGGGCTGGGCGGTGAGTGGTTGGGGGAGGGGGTGGGGGGTGGGTGGGGGTGTGGCGGGTTGGTGTGCGGGCGGGGGGGGGAGGGGGTGGTTGTTGGGGCGCGTGTGGGGGTGGTGGGTGGGATGTACGGGGGTGGGGGGGGGGGGTGGGTGTGGGGGTGGGGGGTGGTCGGTGTGGGGCGGAGCGGGGGGAGGGGGGGGGGCGGCGGGGGGGGTCGGGGGGTGTGGGGATGGGGGGGGGGAGGGGTGGTAGGGGGGGGGTGGGGGGGGTGGGTTGTAGGGGGTGTTGAGGGGGTGTGGGTTGCGTGGAGTGGTGGGGTGGGTGTGGCGGGGGTGGCTGGGGGGCGGATGGGTGGCGTAACGATCGGGGTGACAGGGGATGGGGGGTTGGTATGGGGGTTGGGGGGGGTTTGTGATGGGTGGTGGTGGTGTGTGTGGGGCGGTGGCGGGGTGGGTTGCCGCGTGGGGGGTGGTGGGTTGGGGATAGGGGGGTGGCGGGGGGGGGGGGCGGGGTGGGGGTTGGGGGTGCATAGCGGGTGAGGTGGTGGGGGGGGAGTGGGGGGGTGGGTTAGGGGAGTTGGTTGTGTGGGTGGGGGGTTGTGGTAGTCGGGTGGATGTGATGCGTGGGAGGTGGTGGGGGTGGATGGGGGGGGGGGGGGCCAGGCGTCGCGTTTGGGTTGCTTGGGGTGGTTGTGGTTGGGGGTGGTGGGGTGGGGGGGGGTTGGGGTGGGGAGGGTGTGATGAGGTGGTTTGGGGGGGGGGTGGTGGGTGGGGGGGGGGGGTGGGGGGTGTCGTTTGTGGGGTGGTTTGTGTGGTGTGGGGGGGGGGGGGGGGGTTAATGTGGGGAGCGTGTTGGGGTGAATGAATGGGGGGGGGTGTGTTGAGTGGTGGGGGGTGTTGGAGGGTGGGTAGGTGGGGTGTGGAGGGGGGGGGGGGTTGTGGGGGTGTGGTTGTCTGGGATGGGTGTGGGTGGGGGGGGAGTGGGGGTGGGGGGGGCGCTGGGGGTGGGGGTGGGTGGGTGTGGAGAGTGGTGGTGAAGGGGGTGGGGGTTGGGGGGGGTGGGGGGGGGTGTTGGGAGGGGTGGTGGGGGGGTGGTGGGTGGGCGTGGGGTGGTGTTGTGGGGGGGGGTGAGTGCGGGAGGGTGGGGTGGGGGTGTCTTGGGGTGGGGGGGTGGAAGGGTGGAGGGGGGCGGGGGGGGGGGGGGGGTGGAGCGTGGGGTGGAGGGCTTGGTGTTGGGGGGGGGTGGGGGTGGGGGCGGTGCTCGCCAGTGGGCGGTTTGGGGAGTGGGTGTGGGGGGGGTGGTTGGGTGTGCATGGTGGTGGGGAGGGCGGGGTGTGTTCGGTGGGTGGTGCGTGGGGGGGGGGCGGGGGGGGGTGTGGGGGTGGGGGGGGTGTGGGGGGGGTGGGGGGGTGGGGGTGGGGGGTATGGATTGGGATGGGGAGGGTTCGGGGGATGGTGTTGTGGAGCGATGTGGGGGAGGGATTGGGGGGGTTGGGTGAGTGGAGGGGGGTCGGGGGCGTGGGGGGTGGGGGGGGTGGGGGGGTTGGGATGGGGGGGAGGTAGTGGTGGGTGGTGTTGGGTGGAGGGGGGGTGAGGGGGGTGTTGGGTTGGGGGGGGGAGGTTCGGGGCGGGGGGTGGCGCGGGGGGTGGCGGGGTGGGTGGGGGGGTGGTTGCGGGGAAGGTGAGTGTGGGTGCGGGTGTGTGTGGGGGGGTGCTGGGAGGGGATGGGCTGGGGGTGGTGTGGGGTTGAGTGGTGGGGTGGGGGGAGGGGGGGGCTGAGGGGGGGTGGTGTGGGGGGGGGCGTGGAGTGGGGGGGCGGTTGGAGTGCGTTGGGGGGGGTGTGGAGTTGTGTGAGGGGGGTGTGAGATGCGTGGGGCGGGTGGTGGACGGTGGGGGGTGGCGATGGGGGGACGCGGGGGAGGGGGGTAGTTGTTGTGGGTGGGGTGGTGGTGGTGGTGGGTTGAGGGGGGGGGTTGGTTGGGGTGCGGGTGTGGGGTGGTGGCGGGTGTTGTGTGGGGGTGGGTGGTAGGGGGGGTTGTGGGGGTTGCGGCAGGGGGGGGGGGGGGGCGTGTGGGGTGGGGGGGGGTTGGGGGTGGGGTGGGTGTTTGGGGGTGTGTGGGTGTGATGGTCGGTGGGGGTGGGGGTGGGGGGGGAGGTGTGGCATGTGGGTGGGGGGGGGGGGGGGTGGGTCGTGGGCTGGGGTGGTCGGGGTGGTTGTGGGGGGGGTGTGGGGGTGGGGGGGGAGGGCGGGGGTGGGGGGAGGGGGGGGGGGCCGGGTGGGAGGGGGGGGGGTGGTTGGGGGGGGGGGGGGGGTGGTGGATTGGTGGGGGGTGGGGGGGCGGGGGGGTGGGGTCGGGTGCGGGGCTGGACGGGGGGGTGGAGTGGGGTGGGGGGGGTGTACCGGTGGGGGGGGGGTGGGTGGTTGGTGGGGGGGTGGTGTTGTGGGTGTAGGGTGGTGGTGGTTGTGTGGCGTTGCGCGGGGGGTGGGGGCTATTGGAGTGGGGTGGTTGATGGGGGGAGTGGGGGGAGGGGGTGGGGTGGCCGGTGTGGGGGGGGGAAGGGGGTGGCGGGTAGGGGGGTGGGTGTGGGGCGCTTGTGGGTTGGGTGGTTGGTGTCGGGGTGTGCGTGTGGGGAGTGGGTGTGGGGGGTGGGGCGGGGGGAGAGTTGGGGTGTGATGGGGGGTGGGGAGGTGGGGGGGGGAGGGGGTCAGTGGGGGGGTGGGGGTGGGTGTGGGAGTGGGGGGGGATGCTGGGCGGTCGCGTGTGTGTGGGGGAGGTGGCGTGGGGGGTTGTGGGTTGGGTAGGGTATAGGGGCTGGGTGGATCGTGGGGGTGGGGGGGGCGCAATGTGGGGGTGTGGGGGGGGGTTGGGGGGTGGGATGGGTGGAGGGCGATGGGTGGGTGGTTAGGTGGTGGGGGGGGGCGGGGGCGGGTGGTGTGGGGCGGTGGCGTGGGGGTGTAGGGGGGGGGGGGGGGTGGTGGGTTGCGTGTGGTGGTACGACGTGGTTCGGTGGTGGGTGGTGCGGGGGGGGGGATGCCTTAGGGGGGGAGGGGGGGATGGGGGGAGTGGGGAGGGGGGGGTGACTTGGGGGGGGGGGATGGTTTGGGGTGGGGTCGGGGGGGGGGGTGGTGGTGGGGTGGGTGGGAGGGTGTTGTTGGTGTGGGGGCGGGGGGGGGTTGGCGGTGGGGGCGGCATGGAGGTGGGGGTGGGTGTTGGTGGGTATGGGTTGGGGGGATGTGGGGTGGGGGGGGGGGGGGTTGTGGGGGGTGGGGGTGGATGCGGTGGGTGTGGGGGTGGGATTGGGTGGTGGGTGGGGGGTTGGGGTTGGTGGGGGAGGGTTGGGGTGGAGGATGGGGGGGGTGGGTGGGGCGGGTTGGGGGTTGTGGCGGTGGGTTGGGGTGGGGGGGGGGGTGGTGGGTGGATGTTGAGTGGGCAATGGGTGGGGGGTGGTCGTGGTGGGGGGGGTGGGGGGGGGGGGGGAGGTGGGGATGGCGGAGGTGGGGGTGGGGGGGTGGGGTGTGGGTGGGGGGGGGCGGGGGGGGGTGGCGGGGGGGGTGTGTATGTTGTGGTCTCTCGAGGTGTTGGGCGGGTGGGTGGGGGGTGGTGGTGGTTGCGGGGTGAAGGGGGGGCGTGGAGTGGGGGCGTGTGGGGGGGGGTGGGGAGGGGGGTCCGGGTTGGGGGGTGTGGGGGGGGTGGCGTGGGGGGGGGGGGGCGGAGGTGCGGTGGGATGGTGTGGGGGTGGGGGGGTGGCTGGGACTGGTCGGTGGGTGGGGTGTGGGGGATGGGGTTGGAGTATGGTGGTGGGGTGGTGGGGGAGGTTGGGGTGGTGGGGTGTTGTGGTGGGTGGGTGGGTGTTGGGGGAGCTTGTGGGGGGGGGGGGCGTGGGGAGGGTGGGGGGGGGTAGGGGCTCGGCTGGGGATGGGGGTTGTCTTTCGAGGGTGGGAGGTGGGGGATGGGGGGGTGTGGTGTCGGGTGGTGGGGGGGCGGGGGGGCTGGGGGGTCGCGGGGGGGGGGGGGGGGTTGTGGGGTGGGGGGGTGGGGGTGGGTGTGGGTGGGGGGCGGGTGGGGGGGTTGGGGGGTGGGGGGGGTGCGCGTGGGGGTGAGGTGGGTGGGGTGGTGTGGGGGGGTAGGGGGGGGGGCGGGGGTGGGTGGGGGGTGTGTGAAAGGGTTGGGGAGCCGGGGAGGGGGGGTGGGGGATGGGGGGGGTGGGTGGGGTTGGGGTGGGTGTGGGTGGGGGGGGAGGTAGGGGTGGGGGTGTGGCGGCGGCCGATGGAGTGGTGAGGGTGGGTTATGGGCGGGGGGGGTGGGGGTAGGTGTGAGGGGTTGGTGGGCGGGGGGTCGTGGTGGGGGTGTCGATGTGGGAGGATGTGGGTGCGATGTGGGGTGGCGGGGTAGGGGTGGGGGGGGTGGGGTGGTGGTGTGTGGAGGGTGGGCTGGGGTGGTTGGGGTGTGGGGGTGGGTGTTGGGGGGTCGGGGAGGTGGGTGGGGGCCGGGTGTCGTGTGCTGTGTGTGGGGGTGTGTGATGGGGCGGGTCTTGTGCAGGGGGGTGGGGGGGGGGGGGGGAGGGGAGAGTGGGGGGGGCGGGTGTGGGGGGGTCTGTGTGGTGTGGGCGTGGGGGGGGGGGGGGTGGTGGTGGTGGTGGGGTGGCGGGTGGTGTGTGGGGGTGTGTGGGGGTGTGTGGTGGTGGGGGGTGGGGGTGGGGGGGATTGTGGTGGGGGAGGGGGGGTGGGGGGGGGTGGGGGTGATGGGGATGTGGTGGGTGGGGGGGGTGGGGGGGGGGTGGTGGTGGGTGTGGTGGGGGGGTGGGGGGGGTGAGTCCGGGGGGGGGAGGGGGTGGGAGTGGGGTGGTGTCGTGGGATGGAGTGGGATGGGGTGGGGGCGGGGGGGGTTGTAGGGGGTGGGGGGGGGGTGGGAGTGGGGTGGGTGGGTTGTGGCGGGGGGGGGGTGGGGGGTTGTGTGGTTGGGGGGTGGGGGGGAGGGGGGGGTGGTGGGGTGGGGGGGTGGTCGTGTGGGTGGTTGGTGGGGGGGGGGGCTTGTGGGCGTGTGGATAGGGGTGGGGGGGGGTGTGGTGGGGGGAGGGGGGTGGGGGGGTGGGTGGAATGGGGGGGTGGGGACAGGGGGGTGGGGGTGGGGGGGGGGGGTGGTGGGTGAGTGTGGGGGTGGGGTGGGAGGTTGGGGTGTGGGGGGATGGATTGGGGTGGGAGGGGTGGGAGGGTTGGGGTTGTAGGGGGGGGGGGGGTGGTGGGGGGGGTGCGCGGGATGGGTTTGGGTGGTGGGGTGCTTGGGTGGATTTGGGGTGGGGGGAGGGTTTGTGGCGGGGTGTTGGGAGGGTGGGGGTGGGGGTGCGGAGTGGGGGGGGGTCGGGGTGGTGCTTGTGTGTGGGGGTGGGGGGTGTTGTGTGGATAGGGAGTGGGGGAAGGGATGGGGAGGTGGCGCGCGTTGGGGGGGGGGGGGGTGAGAGGGGGGGGTGGGTGGGGGGGAGGGGGGGGGGGTGGGGGTTGGGGGGGGCGGGGGGTGTGGTGGGGGGGGTGGGGGTGGGGGTCGGGGGGGGGGGCGGGTCTGTGTGGGCGGGTGGGTGGGTGCGGTGCGGCGGGGGGAGGTGTGGTGGTTTGCTGTGGGGGGGTGTTGGGTGGGGGTGGTGGATGGGGGTGTGTGTGAGGGTTGATGGAGGTGTGGTGGATGGAGGTGGGGGCTCGTCGGGGGGAGGGGGGGGTGGGGAGGCGGTGGGGGGTGTGGGGGATTGGGGGTGGAGGTGCATGAGGGTGGGGGGTTGGGTGGCGTGGTTCTTGGGTGGGGGGGGGGGGGTGGTGGCGGGGGGGGGGGGGGTGGGGTGGGGGGTTTTTTGGTGGGAGGGGGGGGGTTCTATGGGGGTGGGGCGGCGGGGCGGGAGGGGTTTTGAGAGGGGGTTTGTGGGGGGCGGGTTGGGGGGGTAGCGTGGAAGGGGCGGGTGTGGGGGGGGTGTTGGTGGGAGTGTTGCTGGGGGGGGGAGTGGCTTGGGTGGTGCCCGTCTGGGGGGTGGGGGGTGTGTGGGTTGGGGTGGGGGGGAGGGAGAGGGTGGTGGGGTTAGGTGGGGGGGGGGTTGGGGGTTGGGTGAGGGGGGGTGGGGTGGTGGGTGGGGTTGGGAGGTGGTGGGGGGGGTGGGGACATCGGTGGTTGGATGGGAGGCGGGGGGCGGGCGGGTGGGCGGCGGGGGGGGGGTGGGGATGGGGCGGGGGGGGGGGGGGGGAAGTGGGGGGGGTGGTTGGGGTGGGGGTGGGGGGAGGGGATGGGGTGCGGGTGTGTCGGTTGAAGGTGTGGTGGGTTGGTGGGAGGTGGGTGGGGTGGGTGGCATGGCGGTGTGGGGGCTGGGGGGTGGGTGTGGGGGGTGTGTGGGGTTTGTGGGGTGGGGGAGGGGGGGGTGGGGAGGGTGGGTGGTGGGGGCGGAGGTGGTGGGGCGGGGGGGGGGGAATGGTGTGGGGGGGGTGGGAGGGTGGGATGGGGGGGAGGGGGTTGGGTGGGGGGGTGGTGGTGGTGTGGGGGTGAGGGTTGGGAGGGGGAGGGAGGGGTGGGGGGGGGGGCTGGTGGGGGGTGGGGGGGAGGGGGGTGTGGTGGGATGGGATGGGAGGAGGACGGGGCGGGAGGGTTGGTTGGGGTGGGGTGGGGTGAGGGGGGTGCGCTAAGTGGTGGGTGGGTGGGGGGTGGGGCGGGGGGGGGTGGGGGGTGGGGTGGGGGTCGTCGGTAGTGGTGGAGGGGGGTGGGGGGCGGGGTGTGGGGGGAGAGGGTGGTGGGGTGGCTGGGGGGGTGGTGGGGGGTGTTGTGGGGGGGGGGGGGGAGGGGTGGGGTGTTTGAGGGGGGGGGGTGGGGGTCTGGTGGGGCGCGGTGGGGCCGAGGGGGGTGGGAGGGTGGGGGGGGTGGAGGTAGGGCGGGGGGGGGTTTGGGGGGGGGTTTGGGGTGTGGGATGGGTGGGGGGGGGGGGGGTGGGGGGGGGGTGGGCGAGGGGTGTGGGGTGGAGGGGGGTGGGGGCGGGTGGGATGGGTTGATGGGTGTGGGGGTGGGGGTGGCGGGGGGGGGGTTAGAATGTGTTGGAGGGGTAGGGGGTGTGGCGAGGAGGGTTGGGGATGGGGGGTGAGGGTGGGGGGGGGGGGTAGGGTGCAGTTGGTGTGTCTCGAGGTGTGGTGGTGGTGGGCCGGTGGTTATTGTGTGGGGTGGTGGATGGGGGGGGGTGTTTTGGGCTGGCGGGGATGGGGGTGTGGGAGAGGTTGGTTGGTAGGATTGTGGGGATTACATATTTTACTCTCATTTTAATTATTTTTTTTTGTAATGTTTTATTATTTTTTTTATTTTTATTGTTTGTTTATTTATTTATTTTATTTATTATTTTTTTCTTTCAAATTTTTTCTTTTTTTTTTCAACTTTTTATAATTTTTTTTTTATTTTTTTATTTTTTTTCATTAACTTTTTACTTTTTTTGTTTTTTTATTTTTTTGCTTTTTTCATCTTATTTTATTTTATTTCTTTTTATTTTATTAATTTTTTATTTTTTTTTATATTTAAATTTTTGTACATTTAATATATTATTTTTTTGTATGTTTTATTTTATTTTAATTATTTATTCTTTTTTATATTTATTTTATTTTTTTTTTTTAATTTTTAATTTTTATATTTTTTTATTTTTATTTTTTTTATTTTTATATTTATTTTAAAATCCATTATATTTTATTTTTTTATTTTAATTTTTTATATTATTTTAATTTTATTTTTTTATTTTTTTCTTATTCTATTTTTTTGTCTATATATTTATATTTTTTTATTATTTTTTTTTTTTATTTATTTTATTTTTTTTTTTTTTTTTATTTTAATATTTTTTTTATTAATTGGTTCATTATTTTTATTCATTTTTATTTTTTATTTTTTTTTTTATTTTTAAAATTTGCTATATTCTTTTTCTATTTTTATTGTTTATGTTACATATTTATTTTTTGTTATTCTTATTTATATTTTATTGTATTATTTTTGTTTTTTTTTTATTATTTTTTATTTATATTTATTTTTATTTATTTTTTTAATTTTAAGTCTTATTTTTAACTTTTTTTTTTTAATTTAATTTTTTTTTATTATATTTATAAATTTTTTATTTTTTTATTTATTTATTTATTTTTTTATTTCATTTTTTTATTTTTTTTTTATTTTTTTTTTTATTTTCTTTTTTTTATTATTTTATTTTTAAATTTTTTTTTTTAAATTTTTTATTTTTATTTTTTTTTTTTATTTTTTTATTATTTTTTTTTTCATTATTTTTCTTTTTTTTATGTTTTATGATATATTTATATATTTTTTATTATTATTGTTTTATTTATTTTTTTTTTATTTTCATTATTTATTAATTTTACTTTTTAATTTTTTTTTTTTATTATATTTTTATTATTTATTTTTTTATTTTTTATTTATTTTTTAATTTTTTTTTTTTATATTTTTTATTTTTTTATTTTTATTTTATTTTTTAATTTATTTTATTTATTTTTAATTATTTTATTTTCTTTTTTTTATTTTAATTTATATTTTCAATTTTTTAATTTTTTTTATTTTTTTATTTTTTATTTTTTTAATTTATTGTTTTTTTTTTTGTATTCAATTTTTTTTTTTTTTTCTTTTTTTTATTATTTTTTTTTTTAATTAATATTTTATAATTTTATTATTTTTTTTGGCATATTTTTGTTTTTTTTTTTTCTATTATTTTTTTTTATTATATTTTTTTGTTTTTTTTTTTTTAAATTTTATTATATATTTTATTATTATCTTTATTATATTTTTTTCATAGTTTTTGATAATTTTGTTTTTATTTTTTATTTTTTTAAATTTTCTTTATATTTTTTTATATTAATTTCTTTTTTTTTTTTTTTTTTGTTTTTTTTAGATTTTTTTATTTATTTTCTTTTTTATATTTTTATTTTTATATTTTTTTATTTTATTATATTAATCTTTATTTTAATTTTATTTTTTGTTTTATTTTTTTTTTATTTTTTCTTTTTTGTTTTTTTTATTTTTATTTTATATTATTATTTTTTTTTTTTTTATTTTTTTTTTTTATTGAATTCTTTTATTTTATTTTTTTTTCTATTATTTTTATTTTATTTTTTATTTTTTATTTATTAATTTTATGTTTTTATTATTATTATTTTTTTTATATATTATTATTATGTTTTATTATATTTGATTTTAGTTTTTTATTGTTATTTATTTTTTTTTTTTCATTATTTTTTTTTTATTATTTTTTTTAGTATATATTAATAATATTTTATTTGTTTTTTTTTTTTTTTTTTTTTTTTTTTTTGTATTTTTTTTTAATTCTTTATTTTTTTTATTTTTATAGCTTTTTTTTTTTATATAATTTTTTTTTTTTTTTTTTTTTGATATTTTATAATTTTTTTTTTCTTTTTTTTTATTTTTAATTTTTTTATTTTTTTTTATTTTTTTTATTTTAATATTTTTTATATTTTATTAATTTTTATTTTATTTATATTTTTTTTTTTATTCTTTTTATTATATTATATCTTTTATTTTATTTTTTTTTATGTTTTTTTTTATTATTTTCTTTAATAAAATTATTTATTTTATTTTATTTATATGTTTTTTTTTTTTATTTTTTAATTATTTTTGTTTATTTTATTTTTTTTTAATTTTTTATTTGTTTTTTTAATATTTTGTTTTATTTATTTTTTTTTTTAATTTTTTTTTATTTTTTTATATGTTTTTATTTTATTTTTATTATATTTTTTTTTTATTGTTATTTTATTTATTTTTATTTTTAATTATTTTTATTTTATATATAATTTATTGTTTTTTTTTAATGATATTTCTTTTTTATTAAATAATTTTTTTTTTTTTTTATCTATTATTTTTTTTTATTTTTTTTGATATATTTTTTTTATTTATTTTTTTTCATTTTGAATTTTTTTATTTATTTTTTATTTTTTTGCTTTTTTTATTTGTTATGTTTTTTTATTTTATTTTATTTTTATTTATATATATTATTTTATTATTTTTTTTTATTTTTATTTTATTATGTATATTTATATTATTTTTCAAATTTTTTTTTTTTTCTTATTTTTTATTTTTCATATGTTAGTTAATTTGATATATTGCTTTTTTTTTTTATATTTTTTTTTTTATGTATAAGTTGTATTTCATTATTTTTTTTTTATTATATTTTATTTTTTTTTTTTTTTTTATTTATTTTTAATTTTTTTTTTATTTTTTTTTTTTTAGTTTTTTATTTGATTTTTTTTTTTAGTTTATCTATATTTTTTATTATCTTTTTATTTGATTTTAATTTATCATTTTTACATTCTGTTTTTTCCATTCTATTTAGATTTTATTTTTATATTTTATATTTTTATATTATATTTTTTTTTTTTATATTATTTAATTTTTTTTTTATTTCTTTTTTTTATTTATATTAAATTTTTTTTTTTTTTTAATTATTTTTATTTTCTTTTTTTTTTTTATTAATTTCCATTTTTTTTTTTTATTTGTTTATATTTTTTTTTTAATTTCAATATTTTCATATTTTTTTTCATAAATTTTATTCATTTTTTTATATTTATATTTAATTATATCTTTTTTTTTTTATTTTATACTATTTTTATTTTTATATTCTTTTAATATTTTTTTTCATATTTTAATTATTATTATATTATACATAACTTTTCTCATATATTTTTTTCAATTATTTTTATCTATTTTAATTTTTATATTTTTTTAATTTTTTTTTTTTATTTTTTATATTTTTTATTTTAAATTTTTTTAATTATTTTTTTTATATTTACTTATATTCTTTTAATATTATTTTTTTATCATTATTTATATATATATTATTTTTTTTATTTTTATTTTTTTTTTTTTTTTATTATTCTTATTTGTCTATTAATTTTATTTAATTATTATCTCTAATTTTATATAATTATTTTTACATTTTTTTTTCTTTTTTTTATTTATATCTAAATTTATTAATTTTTTATATTCTTTCTTTTTAACTTTTATTTTTTTTTATAATTTAATTTTTATTTATTTTTTATTATATTAACATTTATTATTTTATTTTTTTTATATTTTATTTATTTAACTTATTATTAATTTTCCTTCTTTTAAATTTTTATTTTTTTCATCTCTTTTTTTATTTTTTTATTTATATTTTATTTTTTATTTATTTTTATTCATTTTTTTTTTTTATTTTTATTATTTATATTATTTTATTTTTTTTATTATATTTTTTTTATTATTTTTTATTATATTTTTATTTTTTTTCATATTTTTATTTTAATCTTTTTATTTTTTTTATTATTATATCATCATTACATTATATATAATTTTTGATTTATTTTTTTCATTTTTTTATTTTTTTTTTACTTTTTTTTTATATTTTTATTTATTTTTTATTTAATTTTTATATTTATTTTTATAATTATTTATTTTTTTTTTTTTTTTTTTTTATTATTTTTTCTTGTGTATTTTTTTTATATTTATTAATTATGTCTATTTTATTTTTTCTATATTATATATAATTCTTTTACTATTTATATTTTTTTTTTTTAATTTAAATTTTTTTTTTTAATTTTTATTTTTTACTTTTAATTATTATTTTTTTTATAATTTTTTTTTTTATTCTTATTAATATTATCATCTATTTTATTTTTATTTTTTTTTGATTTTTTTTTACCTTTTTTTTTGATTTTTATATTTTATAATCATCTAATCATTTTATTTTTTTATATTATCTTATATTTATTAAATTTTTTTTATATTTAATATTTTTTATTTTAAATTTTCTTATTATTTATAATGTTAATTTTTTATTAATCCTTTATGATTTTTATAATATTTTATAATTTTATTTTTTTTTTTAATACATTATTTTTTAATTTTATTTTTTTATATATTTTTTTTATTTTTATTTTTAATTTCTATAATTATATATTATTTTATTTTTTTTATTATATAATTTTTATTTTTTTATATTAATTTTCCATATTTTTTTTCCCATTTTTTTTTTATTTCATTTTATAGTTATTTTTTATTTTTTTTTTAATTATATATATTTTATATTTTTTTTGATAATTTTATTATTTATGTAATTTTATTAATATTATATATATTTTTTTTTATTTTTATAATTTATCTTTTTTATTATATTTTTTTTTTTTTTATTTCAATATTTCTTTTTATTTATATATCTATATTTTTATTTTTTTATTTATTTTTTTTTTTTTTTTTCTTTTAACTTTTATCATATATTTTTATTTTTATTTTTATTATTTTTTTTATTTTATTATTATTTTTTTTTTTTTTTTTTATTTTAATTTCTTTATTTTTTTATTTTTATTTTATTTTTTAATTATTTTTAATATTTTTATTTTTTTTTTATTTCTTTTAAATTATTTTTTTTTATATCATTATTTTTAATTTTTTTTATGTTTATTTTTATATTTTTTTTTTTCTATTTATTTTTTTTTATATTATTTTTTTTATTTTTTTTTTTTTATCTTTTTTTTTTTATTTTATTATTATTTTTATATTTATTTATTATTTAGTTTTTTATTTTTTTTTTAATTATATTATTTATTTTTTATTTCTTATTTATTTATTTTTTTTTTTTATTTTTTTTTTATTTTTTTCTATATTTTTTTTTTTTTTCATTGATTTTTTTTAAATATTTATTTTTTATTCTTTTATTTTTTATTTTTTTTTTTATTTATTATTTTTTTTTTTCATTTTATTTATTTTTTTTATTTTTTTTTTTTGTTTTATGTTTAATATTTATTAATTATTATTTTTTTTTTTTTTTTTTTTATTATTGTATTATTAATTTAATTTTTTTTTTTTTCTTTTTGTTTTTATATTTTTAAATTTTACTTTTATATATTATTTTTAATTTTATTGTTTATATATTTAATTTTTTGTTCTTTTTTATATATTATATTATTACATTTCTTTTTTTTTTCTTTTTTTTTTGTTTTATTTTTATTTTTTTCTATTTTTTTTATTTTATTTCTTTAAATAAATTCTTATTTTCTATTTTTTTTATTTTTTCTTTTATATTATATATTTTATTGTTTATATTATATTTATTATTTTTTTATTATTTTTATTTTTTTTATTATTATTTTTATTTTTATTTATATTGTATATTCATATTTTATTATTTTGTTTTTATATATATTTTTATTTTTTTTATATTTATGTTAGAACTCATTTTAAGTTAAACAGTTATATTTTTTGAATCCTCCGGGTTTAAATCGGAGGAGCCAATCAGAGCGCGGGGGGCGGAGCCGAGCTATAATAGCGGCCGCTCGCACCCACCAGACTCATTCATTCTCTTGCTCGCCTAGTGAACACATCCTGAAGAAGACCTACTTGGTCGAAACGTCGATTCATTGTTCACTAACCCACTTATTACATATTCGTTAGAGTATGGCGAATGACGGACCTTGGGCTCAGCCCCGTGGTCGCCGAAGGTGGCACCTGCAGGGCCACAGCGGTGACCGCCTGAGCCTGGGGACCCGATGGGGGTCTGGCAGCAGGGGGAGGGCCCGTGCCTCCACTCCTCCGTCCAGGGGGCAGTCTCCATACCGTCACTTAAGCCTCCACGCCACGTCAAGGCAGAGTCTCTAGTGGAGGTAATGTTTTTTTTTTTTTTTTTTTTTTCTTCACATTTTGTGAAGTTTTTTTTGGTTTTTTTTTTTTTTTTTTTCTTCACATTTTGTGAAGTATTATTTTTTTTTTATTTTTTTTTTTCTTCACATTTTGTGAAGTGTTTTTTATTTTTTTATTTTTTTTTTGTACTTTTGTACTTTTTTTTTTTTTTCAAATGTTAACATTAGAATTACAACAATAACAATAACTAAAACAAACATAAATATAATACAAAACAAGTCAAGTCCTCACACACACACAGGTCTTCATACACACAGGTCCACACACACAGTCCTTAAAACAAAAAGTTCCACACACACACACACACAAACACAGGTCCTCACACACTCGTCAGTCATTGAGCAGGGTACTCCCTAATTACGTTTGCGTAATAAGAGAGTACCCCACTCGGCAGCCTGTCTACGTCGACTGTGCAGTTCATGAGGTGAGGAAGGGCGCGAGGCTCCTCGTCCTCCTCGTCGGCGGGGAACAGCCGCTTTCTTGATGCGGTTTGGCACACCCATACCGGGGTCCAGGGCTGCCGGTCTGCGGTCGAGGGCTGAGGCGGTGGGGTGGAGGGCTCAGGGCTGGAGGGGTCTGGCTCAGATATGGAGGGGTCGTCCGCTGGGCTGGAGGGGGCTGGCTCAGGGCTGCCAAGCTCAGAGCCAGAGGAGTCGGCCGAGTCCTGATATACTGGCTCAGGTCCCTCTGACTCTGAGCTGCTGGAAATTGCTGGCCTGGTGTGCCTATCTGGCCTGGTGTCAGAGGCCAGACAGAGGGCCTTCATGCGGAGCTCCCTGTCCCTAAACAGGCTCTCCCCGTTGGGGAGGGCCACATAAAAGCGCGACGCCGTGGCAGGGTCGTGGCACATGGCCCTGGCCACCCTCCGCCGCTCCTGCTCGGTAAGGTGGTCATTGGCCTTACAAACAGAAAACATGAATAAACATCTAAATTCAACTCTGCAGTCAATTTTACGCATCAATCAAGATGTTACCTGTGTGGACACGCTGCTCCTAATCTTATTAAAAGAGATGGACCCCCCAAGTCCAGCCGCTGCCCACGCCCTGTTTAATAGGTCCGACACCTGTCTGAGTGGGCCTCCAGAGGGTGCGTGGAAAATGTATTCCCCTTCCCTGCACTCCTCATGGCAGACCTCGCCGGTGGCCAGGATGCGGAGCCAGTTGAACTCATGGCGCTCTAGGACGAGGGAGGCCTGCCCGAAGGTCCGACTCGTTTTGTGGTCGTCCACCTTGGGGGAAAACAAAACAAAAATCTGTTGACGGATAAGAAACCAAGCGTGGGAAATAGAACTCGCCCCTGTTTTTCCCGGTATCGCACCGACCAAGGCTACAATCTGCCAAAATTTTAGATCTCTAGAGGCAATTTCGGACAAAAGGGAGACCTGTGTGTGAGTAGCAGTCTTTTTATGAGGACCTGATAAGAAACCACAACTCGCTAATATAATTAACAACCTTTCTAATTACTTTCTGAATGGTACATAGTATGACTGACCAACACTTGGAACCGAGTCCCAGACTTCCAGGAGTCGGCCTCCTGTACCGACTCCTTTGTTATATGGTGGAAGACCACCGCCCGGTGGCCGGTCACTATGGCCAGGTAGGCCAGGATGTAACCCATCCCCAGGCCATGAACTTCTTCTGGATCCTTTCGGCCTACACCCCAACAACACGAGGTATTAAGGGGAAGCAACAACTTCTTGGAATGAAAATGAAAAACAATCACAAATGTACTCTACTTACCGATAATTGCGTCAATGGCGCTTTTGGCCCTGTTCAAAAATGCCACGCTGTCCCTGGGGTCCAGCTGGTTGGCTGTGAAAAGAATGGAACTGGCGTAACACTAGTGAAAACCACATCCCTATTTGGACCTGTTGTGACATTTCACCATTTCGGACTGGTCAATAATTTAGTACTAGTAGTAGTAGTAGTAGTAGTAGTAGTAGTAGTAGTAGTAGTAGTGGTAGAGCAGTGCCACTCCTACCACTGGTTTGGGTTGGCAGGAGACCCAAAAACCCATTAAGTTAGCATTAGCATTAGCATTAGCATCACCATTGGCATCACCATTGACATCACCATTAACATTAGCTTTAACATTAGCATTAGCATTAGCATTAGCATTAGCATCACCATTGGCATCACCATTGACATCACCATTAACATTAGCTTTAACATTAGCATTAGCATTAGCATTAGCATTAGCATTAGCATCACCATTGGCATCACCATTGACATCACCATTGACATCACCATTAACATTAGCTTTAACATTAGCATTAGCATTAGCATTAGCATCACCATTGGCATCACCATTGACATCACCATTAACATTAGCATTAGCATTAGCATTAGCATCACCATTGGCATCACCATTGACATCACCATTAACATTAGCTTTAACATTAGCATTAGCATTAGCATTAGCATTAGCATCACCATTGGCATCACCATTGACATCACCATTAACATTAGCTTTAACATTAGCATTAGCATTAGCATTAGCATTAGCATCACCATTGGCATCACCATTGACATCACCATTGACATCACCATTAACATTAGCTTTAACATTAGCATTAGCATTAGCATTAGCATTAGCATTAGCATCACCATTGGCATCACCATTGACATCACCATTAACATTAGCATTAGCATTAGCATTAGCATTAGCATCACCATTGGCATCACCATTGACATCACCATTAACATTAGCTTTAACATTAGCATTAGCATTAGCATCACCATTGGCATCACCATTGACATCACCATTAACATTAGCTTTAACATTAGCATTAGCATTAGCAGTAGACTAGTAGTAGTAGTAGTAGTAGTATAAGTGTTATCAGTAGTAGCAGTAGTAGTAGCATCACCAGCAGTAGTAGTAGTAGTAGTAGTAGTAGTAGTAGCAGTAGTAGTAGCAGTGGTGTTACCCATATAAGACAGGAAAAGCCTTACCTGACTTCTTCTTAAGGACCTTTTGGCGGTGCACAACCACTTCCCGCGCGATGTCCCGCTGGATCCGCTGAAGCTCGTACTCTAGGTTCGAGGCTTCAGCGGGCCTCAGGCGGGTCTGGCGCGGGAAGCGCTTGGTCACGTGCCTGAGGAACATGATGACGTTGGTAATCATGTTCTTAGTCGTGGTGCTTTTGTATCCCTTTTTTGCAAGGTACGTCGGGTATCTGTGTAAAAAACAGACAGGTTACCACATATTAATCTTTCAGAATTTTTAAATCTATCACCATTCACTTTCACAAGAAAATCCTAACTAAATGGCAAATTTTCTTGGACCAATTTTAGTGATATTAAACAAGATGCAGAGTTACCTAATTCTTCATCCAAAGATAGCAGACTAATACTCACCCACGCAGGTGGTCCAGCCGGTTAATGAACCGGAGGCTCCCGGTCAGGCAGTCAGCCGCCACTCCCTGGGCCATGTACCGGCAGAACCTCAGGGAGTGGCTGGCTGACTGCTTGGCGTTGTCAACGTCCTTGGGCCTGGTCCGCGCCCCGAGCCGGAACAGCCTATAGTCCTCCACCAGGGATTCTGCAATAAAATCAAATTGACTTTTAGAAAAAAGGATGACAATATTTGAATATTTCCCTCCATGGTCCAAAACTATTAGTAACCAACTTACCATACAGGAAGTCCGCATTGTGGACCTTGCCCACGTGCTCCCCCTTCTGCGCGGACGTGGGGGCCACGGGAGCCGGGGCAGCCTGGAGGGACCGCAACTTCTTCTGGAGAACCGCGTGTGAGCGCTCCAAACTGCTGAGGCGGGCCTCCAGCCTCTGGAAAGCCTCCAAAGTCACGGATGGACCCGGCCTCTCCTGGTCCATGTGTGAAGTCCCTTTATTAAAAATAATGTACTCCATGATTCAACATTTCAATAACCCTACGTAATAACATTGGTAGGTGTTACTCAGTAGGAATAGTAGTAGTAGTAGTAGTAGTAGCAGCAGCAGCAGTAGAAGTAGTAGTAGTAGTAATAGCACTAGTAGCAGTGGTACAAAACAATACAATACAATTTATTCTTGTATAGCCCTGAATCACAACAGAAGAAAAGCTTTACCTGTCTTCTTATGAGGACAGTATGAGGAGTAGTAACTATCAAGAGCAATAAATACTCACCAGAGAGAGAAGGGCCGGCGATGGCCTGATCCTCCTCCTCCTCCATCCCCTCACCTCCCACCAGGGGCTCAGGATCTGATTCAATATGGGAGGTATAATGTATATATGAAATTATAGTTAATTCGTTCCAAAGTTTATCTATGCCATAACATATGTAGGTTTTTGAAAAAAATAAACTATGATTCACAAATTACATGTACACAATGACATTATTAACACAGTAGTAATACTAGTAGTAATAGTAGTAGTAGTACAAATGTGTGTATGAGTAATAAATAAATACTCACCAGAGACAGAAGGGCCGGCGATGGCCTGATCCTCCTCCTCCTCCTCCATCCCCTCACCTCCCACCAGGGGCTCAGGATCTGATTCAATATGCATATATGAATTTCCATTACTCAGTAGTAATAGTAGTAGTAGTAGTAGTAGTAGTAGTAGTAGTAGTACTACTACTATCAAAAGCAATAAACACTCACCAGACTGATCCAACTCCAACGCTGGCATGTCGTTGGGTTGATCTGATTCAATAATGTAAATAAAAAAACAGTTTTTTCATTACAAATATTATCCATGAATTAACATAGGTGTTATCAATTTATAAATTATTTATATATTTCCAGATATCCAACAACAGTTAAAAGTACTGTTTTGGTTCTTACCAATGTCCAGCTCGGAAAGGAGGGGCACTGACGGGTCTGACAGCCTGAGGTCCCTCAGCTCCTTGATAATGGCCGCGCGTTTTGCCTCGCGCAAGAGGGCAGCACGCTCCTACGAACCAAAACATATTGTTTGGACACATATTGAAACATATGGATTTGATAAAAGCAATTTACATCGGAGGAGGTCTTCAGATGCCTGTCCTGCAGGTGCTTATCGAGCCGGACCACCCCCTTCTTGGCACAGCACGGGCAGTCTAGCACTGCTGTAGTCCTAGGAGAATGAAAAAAAATCAACACCTGGTCTCTACACAGCTCCGCGCTGGGCTCATGGATCTATTACTGTGTGTGTGTGTGTGTGTGTGTGTGTGTGTGTGTGTGTGTGTGTGTGTGTGTGTGTGTGTGTGTGTGTGCGTGTGCGCGTGCGTGGGTGCGTGCACTCACCGTGCACTGCCATATTTGATAAGCAGGTGTAGCTCCTCCTTGTTGGCCACCTTATGAATTCGCTCCAAATGTTGTCTCAGACATGAGGCTTGTGTGAAACATATTCCGCACTGTTTCCCTTCCTGTTACACAATAAAGAGAAAATGATAATAATTATTATTATTATAAATAATGACTTGGCTGCACGTGAGCAAAAAACGCGTGGGGCCTTGTATCAACGTCAAGGCCTCGTCTACGGACATTGCACAGAGCTGGAACAGGGAAAGGCGCAGAGTGTTCTCCGTGTGAACAGCACACTAACCCGAGATAGATATTCACTCAATCAATCAATTCAGCATTGTAAATATGAATGTTTACATATATATTTTGATTGGGTTAGACCGAGTGTGTAATTAACGTGTACTTACCGCCATTTTGAAAACGAGGGAAAAGTCACGGACACGCCTCTTTCAACTCGGCAGAATATCTGAGCACAAAGGGGCGTTAAATGTTTCCAAAATGATTTTAATAAATTAGAATTATATTATAAAATGAATCTATGAATAAATTCAACATGAACTTGCCTTTTATTCCTTATTTCTGCGTAGAATTCTGACGTTTGAGACGTTGAGGCCTGATACGGGGTAAGCGCATGGAAAAAAAATAAAAAATCATGACACGCTACCGGTGGTCGAGTGGGTACGGCGTTGCGCACCGGTAACGGTGCTGCGGGATTGAATCCCGCCAGAAGCATTTTTTTTTAATCATTTTGAGTCCCTAAAAGCTGTTATATTAAAGGTTATTTTACAAATCTTATGCGTGTTTGAGGCCTACCTAGGCCTAACTAGGCCTCAAACCAATGAGATAAGCCCCCTGCTCATTGTAGAAAAGAGCTGGTCTATGTGGGTCCGCTCGATCTATCCTCCCAGGGTCCGAAACATATTGAGATTAATATTTACATTAGTACATCATGTTTGGAGATTAACGTTTAAATTAGTACATGTCTGCCCGGTGGTATTGGTATGGGTTCTGTTATTCATTGTAATTGTGCACATTTACTAATGAATAAACTCACACTTTGTTTGGAATTACAGCTCTGGGTTGTTTACATTATTTTACTCTTGTTATGCGCAGAAATTCCACAACACATCCATCCATTTTCTACCCTTTAATCCATTTCTGGGTCAGGGGGGTGGCAGTCAGAGATGCCACCCAAGTCTCATAGCACCAGCCCCTCACTGACCCTCTGCAGGTGGTGAGTCCACAGGAGGAACAAAAACATTGTTCTACCAAATGTGTATTTTATGTTTTAAATCAGTATTGTGTACATTCAAGGCGTTGCGCGCCATGGATGCTCAGAGCGCCCGAGACCGTGAACCCTGGCCTCGAGGCCGAAAACACGTTGATGCGCACGGCCTGGAAAGAGTTACATTTTCTTTAAAACATTTTTTTAAACAATTTTGAGTCCCTCAAAGCTGTTGGCAGGATATGTTTTAAAATATTATGGGTTTGAGGCATAAATTGCAGTCATCACCCTGGGAGTTGATACTGGATCAGCGTTACAAAAGTGCATAAAGTTGTGCAGTGGGAACCTGTATTAGCAACATGTTCTAGCTGCACAACTTGATGACATGTTATATTGAACACACTATATAACAAACGATATATACCATCTTCTGGGATGAGGTCAGGTATCAAATCAAGTTAAGCCCGAAAAATCACAACTCAATTGATGGCCTAGTGGGTAAGATGACCGTCGTAAGTGGCGTCATTGCGGGATCGAATCCCGTTGAAATCATTTGAAATTTAATTAATTTAAGCGACAGAGGTTTTTTTCCAAAACGCTCAATTTTGACATCTCAATTTCAAAAGGCTATAACTTAAAAGTGATAAGAGATAAAGGCTTTCTGTAAATTAGAAAAATATAAAGGATGTTCCAAAGTGTATGTAGAGAATAAATCCCCCCATCTAATTTGCATATTATGACGTCATTTGGCGTTAGAAATAGTGGATTTTAGAATTTTCATACAATATTTGTACTTTTCTAACTGACAGACATATATTTATCACTAGAACATGAACACACACAGAGCACACACTGTAACATTGTAAATGTTCATGAAAATAGTAAACAAATATAAATCATGATGCTGCTGTGAGCAGTCTGCCCAGACGCGCGCGTCACTGCGACCCTGCTGCTGTCTCCCCCACTCTCTCTCTCTCATCTCCCCTGATCTCTCTCTCGTCTAACACACACAAGACAAGGCTTCTACAACACGTTACTGTCCCGGTGATTACGGGAGGCTTGAAAATAAATATGTGGGAAGCACTTTTAGCGGACACGAAGCTGCGCTCTAATTTAGGATGGATTTCTAATTTTGTGCGCGCACCAACGCGTCTCCCATTGAAATCTCATGTAAAACATGATTTTTCTAGCGGTCCTTGGCTCTAGATCGCAGTATACACACACACAGTACTTGTGTGTGTCATCAGAAGGAGGAGCAGCAGGTTTTACAGTGATTCTGGACATCGTTTTTTTCTTTCATAAAGTCTGGCGTCTGGCCAAACCAGCGCACAGAGACCATGAGGACAAACACATGCATGTGATTTGTGTTGCTCTACATCAGTCCTCTGGCCCGTCCTCTACACTGCTCCATAGACTACACAGGGAGAGCATCAGAAGACGCGGACCGGCGCGCACGGCCTGTGTAGATACTCCAAAAAAATGTTACGCGCAGAGAGCGCGCAGTAAACGCGTACGCGCTGTTTACGCCTACTGTGTAAATTCCCTGTAAGAAACACTGTTCCCACTGCTGACTCTGTGCAAAGTGTCTAAAGTTAGTGTTGGGTGCGGTACAGCTGCATTCGCTTACCGCAGCTTGTCGACTTAAGTCGACCGTGGCCTATTAACATTTAATTTTACAATAAAGTATCAGCCTCAAAACAAGAAAGTATGAAAGGCGCTCAATCATTTTCAAATAAACTGAAAGTCTTTCATACTGTTGCCAGCAAGTGCTGGGTCCCCCCCATTTTTAATAATAAATGTCAAAGGCAGGATTTGAACTTGCGACCACTGGATCTCTAACCCATCACCTTAACCACTCGACCATCACAAGACCCCACTGTAATAACATTATGATTTGGGTGTCATGAATGGGATTTAGGCGGAACATTAAAGGGAAAGTATACCTAACAACATGGTGGTTTTCAAAGGTCAGAATCTGTTCCGAAGGTCGCACAGGCACAAACCACACATCTACGGAATCGGCTCGGCCAGCTGAACGCAACGGTGTATAGCTTTTGACCCTGCAATGTTCAGCCGCGGCGCTAGGGGGCGACGAATTTTTAAAAAAAATGCCCCTCGTTAAGTCTAATTACTCGGCCAAACGAGGTCGTAGAACGATAACGGAGGTGTCCTTGGAAAGCCCTAGATGTGACGAGTCACATATATGAGCTGCAGCAAGGTGGCGCTGTCCTCCAACCAAAATCAGGACTTTCCTGGATTTTCCTGGCCACCGAGACCCTCCTCTTTTACAAAGCGGGTGGCCGAGCCAGTTGAAACTTTGGATTAATGTTCAGCTTGTACCTAGAAGGGTGCGTACCAAGTTTCGACTAGTTTGGATGAAATTTGAACTTTTTACAAGCCCCCAAGCACTTTTTGGGCCTTCAAAAGCCTAACCTTAAAGGGGAGGTGAACCAACATTTCAACTTTGGACTACCAGCCTCATTTTTGACTATGTTACACAGCAGGCTATTCTGAGCTCGAATATGTAGGCGCCCGCTCAAACCGACCAATAGGAAGCAAAGTAGCCAACCGAGTGTCCGAGCGGTTTGAAACTTTAGATTCTCGGTCGGACTGGGTTGAAATGGGCGTGTGCCGAATTTGGACTCGTTTCCATTAAATTTGAAGCCGTGACGAGCTTAATTAGCGTGAGATTTTTTACCGAACGAAGGCCCGCCCACCGAGAACCGTAAGGCCCCCGGAGGTCTACCCTACACCGTTGGACTCGTCTCGTGGCCCTCTACCACATATCCAAAATTCAGGCGTCTAACCCCTTCGGAAGTCCAAGTGACCGTTTTTGGACCAGAAGCTCAAGACGGTCTCAGGACCGTAAACCCTTACCCTACCCTAAAAAGCTAGGTGATCAAAGGCCAAAATCTGTTCCGAAGGTCGCACAGGCACAAATCAGACCTCTACGGAACCGGCTCGGCCAGCCGAACGCAACGGTGTACGGCTTTTGTCCCTGCCATGTTCCACCGCGGAGCTAGGGGGCGACAACCGTTTGAAACGCTCCCCTCGTTAAGTGTTATAACTCGGCCAAACGAGGTCGTAGAGCGATGATAGAGGTATCGTTGGAAAGCCCTTCATGTGACGAGTCACATATATGAGCTGCAGCAAGGTCCGCCAAAATTCAAAATTCATTCACCGATTGTAGGGCCGTTTCAAAAGATACAAAGTTATTAGTATTTTCCCAGGTATCGCAACGACACAGGCTATGACCTGTCCAAATTGTAGAGCTCTAGCTCTAACTTTGCGCAAAACTTGGGAATAAGAACTTGCCCTTCATTGAGCGTGTCCAGCTGGTGTCAGAGACACCGCTGTGTGAGTGGCGTCTCTCTAAAGTGTTGTGAAAAAAAGTAGTAGTGGTAGAGCAGTGCCACTCCTACCACTGGTTTGGGTTGGCAGGAGACCCAAAAACCCATTAAGTTAGCATTAGCATTAGCATTAGCATTAGCATTAGCATTAGCATCACCACTGACATCACCATTAATATTAGCATTAGCATTAGCATTAGAGCATTAGCATTAGCATTAGCATCACCATTAGCATTAGCATTAGCATCACCACTGACATCACCGTTAATATTAGCATTAGCATTAGCATTAGCATTAGCATTATCATTAGCATCACCACTGACATCACCATTAATATTAGCATTAGCATTAGCATTAGCATTAGCATTAGCATTAGCATTAGCATCACCACTGACATCACCACTGACATCACCATTAATATTAGCATTAGCATTAGCATTAGCATTAGCATTAGCATTAGCATCACCACTGACATCACCATTAATATTAGCATTAGCATTAGCATTAGCATTAGCATCACCATTAGCATTAGCATTAGCATTAGCAT